CCCAAAAGGAGTCTCTGGAAGTTAAGTTAATGCTTGGCATAAAGCAAGGATTAAGAAGATGGTAGTCAATATAATAACAGATTTTTTACCTTCTGTGGTGGAATAAGGGCTGTCGCAGGGCATGGTTGAGTCACGTGGGCACATAAGCGCCGAATAGTTGCAAGACACAAAAATAAGTTTTGAAGGCCAGTCAGAAAGCCTAAGAGCAGGGCCTGGCTGGCCCGGCGGGACTGGCCCAGCGCTGACCGGTGCCTCCCTCCCTCCCTCAGCTGGCGCTGGAGCAGCGCTGCCGGGAGCTGCGAGCGCGGGGCCGGAGCCTGGAAGAGACGCTGCCGCGGCGCATCGGCTCGGAGGAGCAGCGCGAGGTGCTCAGCCTGCTGTGCCGAGTGCACGAGCTGGAGGTGGAAAACACCGAGATGCAGTCGCACGCTCTGCTCCGCGACAGTGCTCTGCGCCACCGCCGCGAGGCTGTACGTCTCCTGGAGCAGCACCGCAGCCTCTGCGAGGAGATCATCCAGGGCCAGCGGCAGATCATCGACGGTAGGGCCTCCCCGCCCCGCAAGGCCTGGGGCGTTGTCTGAGGGCCTTCGAGCCCATGCCGAGCCCTCAGCTCCCCTCCCCCCTCGTACAGACTACAATCTGGAGGTTCCTCGGCACCTGGAGGAACTCTATGAAGTCTACCTTCGGGAGCTGGAGGAGGGCAGCCTGGAGCGGGCCACCATCATGGACCGCGTGGCCTCCAGGGCCCTGCAGGTGGGCGCTTGGGCCGGCCTAAATTCGCTGACATGGGGATCCCATCAAGCCAGCCAAGTTCCAACAGTTGGCTTTTGTTTTTTTGTTTTGTTTTGTTTTGTTTTCTCTTTCCCACCTTCTGCCTTGCCAAACCTGGGTGAGGGTTCCCATTTTTGGGCATTACTACTTGGCCTGACACTTGTCCCCACCTAGGGTCACAAGGTCAGGACTGGCCATCTGAGATCTCACAAGTGATCACTAGTCAATAGAATAGTTTTTAATCCCAACACTTGGGAGGCTGAGGCAGGAGGATTGAAAGATAACCAAGCAGCCTTGTCTGTACAACAAGATTCTGTCTCAAACAATAAACAGATGGAATAATTAATTAACTGATTTCTAAAAATCAAGGAAAAAGTGGACCTAATGCTCTAGTTGGACCAGGCCACTGAGACTGCCTAGCAGACCCCAAATTGCTGGGGACCCAGCTCATAGGCCCGGTGCCCTCCGGGTCACCCAGCCCATCTTATAGCCCTTGTCACTCTGTGTTGTTACTGAGTGACAAGGGCTTGTCATTGACCACCACCACCACCACCCCCAATACACCCACAGGACAACTCCTTGCCTAAAATCACTCGAGCGGGGACCACACTAACCCCGGACTCTGACCTGGAGAGTGTGAAGACACTGAGTTCTGAGACCCAGCGCCCCCAAAACAACGCCCTACCCCCACTTGGCACAGACAGGTGAGACTTGCTGATAGCTCCCTAACCTGTGTGAGGAATGTCAGCCCTGGAAAGGGCTCAGTGGGGACGACGGAGCCAGAAGCATAGTGAGGTGGTAGGCACGGGTCTGCAGCCAGGATTTGTGGGTTCTCTCCCCCTTGGCACCAACAGTTTCTCCTCTAGGGTGGGGGTAGACTCGGGGATGACTAGCCTGGTTAACAGCTGCCTCCTGTTCCTCTGCCAACTGCAGTGAGTCCTACCATGTGTTCAAAGCCAGTCCCAAGGCCTGGCAGGCAAAGAATTCCTCTGTGCCCACTCCACCTCCCATCCAGGTGGGCACCCTGGTGACCCAGCAGGTGAGCTCTGGGTGCCCAGCAGTGGGTGGATTTCTTCCAAGGCTAGCACACCCCCAAGGCCACACAGCCTCTGCAGAGTGCATTGTGGGGTCCCTGCTGTCTTCAAGGCCTTCCTCTTTCCAAACGGTTCACCCCCTAGGCCCCACCACGGGACAGCCTGGGCAGCCAGATCACCTCTTCCCCGGACAGCAGTGAGAACCTGTCAGAGATCCCTCTGTCCCAGAAAGGTGGGTGTGCCCTTCACGTCACATGTCCTGGCCCCCATCTGCCTGACATTGTCTAGACTGCTCAGATGACCAGGCCCAAAGCTCCTTCCTCCTCTCTGCCCCTGATGAAGGTGCCCATCTATTCATTGGCTGTACCAGAAGGACTGGCCACCTGCCTAAGGACACACAGACGATGGGGAACAATCAGAAATTAAAATAGGGACAATAGGGACACTTGTCACCCCCTGCCCACTGGATTCTAGCTAATTCTATTCAAATCTCTGCCCCCTAGACAAATAGACTAAAACTATTGTCCAAACCGTTTGGGGTTTTTTGGAGGAAGGGAGTTAATAGAGATTGAATTTAGGGTCTCACACACAATAGGCATTTTTACCACTAAGCTTATCCCCTGTCCCCTTTTCACTTTTTATTTTGAGATTAGGTCTAAGTTGCCCAGCTGGCAGGCCTTTTTTAAAGACAGGGTCTCATCATGTAGCCCAGGCTATCCTGGAACTCACTCTATAGACCAGGCTGGCCTCAAACTCAGAGAGATCCACCTGCTTCTGCCTTCCAAGTGCTGGAATTAAAGTTCATGCTGCACCACCATGTCCAGGCATCCTTGAACTTCTGATCTTCCAGCTTCAGCCTCCTGAGGAGCAAAGATTACAGGCCTACGACACCAGTCTAGACTCCCAGTGTCTCAGTTAATCTTTGAAGCAGCCCCGGAGTTTTCATTTTTGCAATCCCATTTACAAGTGAAATTCAGGTTCTGAGGGGGTGCCCCAAGTTTCTCAAAGAGCTAGTGAGTTAGAGTTCTGGGGGTGAAATCTGTGAGTCCTGGCTCTTGCTCACTTTTGACCTGTGAGGAAGGGGTGTGGAAAGGAAGTGGCCTTGACTTTGGGTTGGGTATCTGCTGTAGAGAAGAAAGAGATCCTGACTCGGACCAAGTGTATCTCGGTGAAGGCCGCCCAGCGGCGCTCTCGGGCCCTGGGATCGGAGGGGCGCCACCTGCTGGCACCTGCCACAGAACGCAGCAGCCTGTCCCTGCGCTCGTTGAGCGAGGCTGATGATGTTCGCCCGTCTGGTCCACTGGCCTGCAAGCGGCCGCCCAGCCCCACACTGCAGCACGCTGTCAGTGAAGACAATCTATCCAGCAGCACTGGCGAGGGCCCCTCTCGGGCAGTAGGACATCGAGGTGATGGCACTGGGCCCTGGGTGCGGGGTCAGAAGAAAAACCTCAGCAAGAAAAGGGAGGAGTCGCTGGAGGCGAAGAGGAGGAAGCGGAGGTCTCGGTCCTTCGAGGTCACAGGACAAGGGGTGAGGCAAGACGCAAGGGTGAGATGCCTGCGCCTGTTCCTAACGGGCGAGGCCCTGAGGGCTAGCTCCCCCAAGAAGGTACAGGGCACTTCTAGCCCTTCGCTACGCCCAGAGGCCCTGATCTGAAACACAACTGTCCCCAGCCTGATAAAGTAGCTAGGGGATTGGGTTCTGCAGCTGAGCGCTGAGCTTCTCTCCATCCAGTTCCACTGTTTTCCACCTGTACAGCTGTCTCGTCCCAAAACACACCTGCTGGGGCCTCATCCCTCAGAGGGCACTTCAGACCGGAGGATGCCAGTGTGTGGGCGGCCATCCCCTGGTGTCAGACGGTTGGGAAAGGTCACACTGCCTCTGGCCAAGATCAAATTTCCTCCAAGCCAGAATACAGGTCAGTACCGATCAAGAAGGGATTGGGTAGGAGGGGCCTTGACCAGCGCAGAGGGGACATATACAGGGCTCTTGCCCCTACTGGAAACATGATTCGGGGAACAATATTGGTGGAGTTAACAAACTGGGATTGCTTCGCTAGGAAGTTCAAGGCCAGTGGGGAGGGAAGACGTTCCTCAGCAACTGATCCTGGCTTTTCCCCTGTCATAGGCTCTGGGAACCCCTCTCCCCTTTCTGTTCCCCCCAACCCAGCTGGTGTTTCCCGCAGAGCTACGCGTGGGCCCAGCCTGCCCCATGGTTCCAGGACTCTTGGCAAAGATGGACGCCTCCGGCATAATTGAGGAGCCCCCGGTGCCTACTGTTCTGCCCCCCAGGACTGAGCAGGGTGCAGCAGGGACTGGGAGGTGGAAGTTAGGCAGATGGAGATTCCATGGAGCAAGAGCTTGGAGAGCTGGGCTCCTGTGACCCGGAATCGGTGGGGTTGTCTGCATAACTTTTCCATGCTCTCCACGCCCCTAGAAAGGAGGGGGCCCAGCAGCTTGGCCTCTCAGCCTTGGACAGAACCTTGTTGCCAAAAACTTGCACAGACCTGGGGTCAATCTTGGCTTCGGCAATGGGGAAGAGGAGCTGTTAGTGAGACAGGACTCCACCCCTGGTCAAGGGTGAGCTTGGGATAGGGAAGGAGCCCACAGGACTTCACACAGGGTAGGAAGGGATGGGGAGGGATTCTGGTTTTGTAAATTCTCTGTTGCTTTTTTTTTTTCTGCCTTTCTTTTAAATAAAGTCCTACTGGGGTTTTGATGGTTGTGTTTGGAGTTTTTTTGGAATGCGTCATGTCTGGTTCTAAGATTCACCCTGTTCCTGGCCCGTTCACTCCCAGCAACCCATCTCCCTTGGCTCAAACCTACAAATAACCGGGGGATGAGCTTTTTTTTTCTCAAGATGCCAAGACTGTCCCTCCATAGAAGGATGGAGCTAGATCAAAGTCTAGTTTGTGGCAGTCTCCCAAGGACCTTCCGACTAGCCTGGACCCCTCCCCAGGAGGCCAGGGACTTGATGCAGGCAGCGGCAAAAAGCCTCACAAGCTATAGGGGCGGTTGCCCACTGGAGCTTGCAGCTCAAGATGTGAAAGTTCCTATCCAAGAGGGAGATTGCCCAGGCTGGCTATCAATCGCCGACCATTAGGTCGTCTTCCCTGCTCTAATTCATGTCTGGGTGGGAACTCTCAGGGAAAAGCTCAGTGGAGGGCATGTGAACCCCAGACTTTTGAGACCCCGGAGTTGCTTCAGGCCCTGGCTTCTCTGAGCGTCGGTTTATTCTGTACCAAGAGCACTCCTTTCCAATCAGCTGGGAAAGGCCTTCCTGAAACCACAGCCATCTTGTCTACCACATTCACCTGCCTTCCACCCCAGCCCCAACCAACGGTACCTGGTCACCCACAGTCACGTCCACCTCCAGCCTACCCCTCCCCAGACCCTAGAGCGCCATCCAGGCCAGGCCTTTATTTCTCCGTCCACAGGCTAACTGGGAGTCCTGATGAGGGTGTGGTACACGGGCTTGACAATGAGATGGAGATGCAGTGCGTTCTCCACCAGGTACTCTGAGTTGCGCCTCTGCAGGTCTGCGTGGGCCAGGAAGTCGCCAGCCTCCTCGCTGCTCTGATGGAAGCTGTAGGCGTGGCGGACCAGGAGGCGGCCCTGATGGCGCGCACCCACCAGCACGGTCTTCTGGAAGCTCACACCCGCCGCATCGCCTCCGCTGCTAGCCGGCGTGACCACCAGCCGTGGCCTTCCGTCCTCGGGGCGCGCGGCAGGCAGCGCAGTGCCCGCAGCGTCCGCGTAGACGGGTCGCAGGCTAACGGGCAGCCAGCGTGGGGAGAAGAGCACGTTCCAGGTGATCCGGCGACCCGCGTCGTGGCCGCTCGGACCCAGCTGCGTCTGGAAGCTAGTGCTGCGGTCGTCGCGAGCCGGGTTGTTGATGACCCACGGGGCGCCCCAGGCGGGCGCGAGGTAGTTGCGCGGCAGGAAGGCGCTGCTGTTCACGTGGAAGAACTTGGCATAGTGCAGCGGCGAGGCGGCGTGGAACTGGTAAGCTTGCAGCAGGAGGTCTGCCACCGCTGGGCCGTGGCGCGCCAGCGCGGCGGAGCGCGCCTGCAGCTGGAACAGCTGTGCCGGCGGGATCATGGGGTAGCGGATGGCGCGCAGCGCTTTCTCGGCCACCGTCGGGGGCGGCCGCGCACGACCCAGCCAGGCCTCCAACGCGTGGAACAGCTCCAGCTCATCCTGCAGCACCAGGTCTGAGCGCTGCAGGAGCTGAGCCAGCAACTCCGGGCTCACGGCGCTCCACTCCGCACTCCCGGCCACGGCGGAAAGGTTCCAAGCCAGGAACTGCAGGCAGCTCTCACGCAGAGCCTCATCCCCGGTGCTCACTGCATAGTGATACCAGCCCACAGCTGGGCCTGCGCCTCCCGCCAGATGCGCACGCATGTAGTCAGCCACACCTCGCTGCAGGGATGCCACCCGGTACTTGGTGGCCAGCCTGTGCAGCGGGATAGCCTGGGCCAGCAGGACTGTCAGCTCACCGCAGTACAAGTACCTATGAGAGAGTGGAGAAGGGGCCCGTTGAGATGGCTCAGCAGTTAAGAGCACTTGCCCAGGGGACTAGAATCGGGTCCCCAGTATCCAGCCCTCTTCTGGCTGGAGGAGGGCACCCATTACACATGGCATACACTCACACAGACGTACAAGTTAATAATACGATTTGAAATTAAAAATAGAGGCCAGGCGGTGGTGGCGCATACCTCTAATTCCAGCGCTCTAGAGGGAGAGGCAGGGGGACCTCTGAGTTCGAGGCCAGCCTGGTCTACAGTAGAGTGAGTTCCAGGGCAGTCAGGGCTACACAGAGAAACCCTGTCTCAAAAAACCTAATGATGATGATGATGATGATGATGATGATGATAATAATAATAAAAATAAACATAAAGATAGGAAGATTGGCAGCGCTGGGTCTGGACGAGGCCACCCACTCCACCCCAGCTGGTTTTCCCAGAACACGGCCTTTTTTGTAACCAGGAACAAACAGGATGAACGGGCCCTGAGGCTTCCTGTCTTTCCCTCTTAAGTTCCCTTACAGCTTGTTCAAATATCTTTTAGCTTCTGGTGCTGTGGGAATCACATGGATTTACTGAGCATCTCCTAGATAGCTAACTATAAGCTAAAATGAGAAGGGGCTGTTGATAACCTCAGAGTTCATAGTCTGGATTTAGATGCCATCTGACCTCCTCCATGCCACTAGACAAGGCAAGTCCTTTCACTTAGATGAATCTTAAACATATCTAGGAAAGGGGGAGAGCCCCCCCCCCGCCCCCATAATGTTGTCACAGTGAGAGGCAGTGGAAAGTCTTGCTACAGAGTACACAGCCAACCCGGGCTACTTCCTATCACGGGATCCCCTTTCCTTTGCAATGGGGCCTTTCTTGTTGCCCGGTTTCCCTTCCTTGTTAGCTGTTTCACTGTCTCTGGCTCTCTTACAGTGACCCCACCCCCACCCCCACCCCCCCTCCCCTCATTCTTCCTGGTAGTCCCACTGGCACACAGCACCCCACTAGGCTCTATGGGAAACCCTTCTGTTTTGATCCCTCTTCCTGTTGCCTGGAACTTGGAAGTAATGTCTGGCTGGAATCCTGCAGTCACCATGTCAAAGTCATCGGAATAGGGTTGGTTACCTCCTTAGACTATTTTCCAAGTCTTTCCCTGTGCAGGGACCAGAGAGGTGACACAGACCTGGCTGACCTTTCTACTCCTTAGCCCTGTGGTTCCAAAGCCATGTGCAGGTTTAAGAAATGGCTGGTCTCAGGCTGGAGAGATGGTTAAGGGCACTGGCTGCTCTTCCAGAGATCCTGAGTTCAATTCCCAGCAACCACATGGTGGCTCACAACCATCTATAGTGAGATCTGGTGCCTCTTCTGGCATCCAAGCATATATGCAGGCAGAACACTGTATATATAATAAATAAATAAATCTTAAAAAAGAAAGAAAGAAAGAAATCTATCCAAGAATCTATCATTTCTCTTGGCCCGGGTAGACTTGGAAGGGGATACCAAGGGCAGGAAGTGGCACACAGGCCACAGGAGGGCAAGAGGGCAGAGGAAGCAGGGATAATGGAGGTGTGTGTTGTGTGTCACGCTATGGCTTTAAACCTCTAAGGCCAGACCTCCGTGCCCCTGGCGGTGGAGAAGCCGGGGGACTGTGGACAGGGTGCAGCTCGGTGCCCTTCCCCTACATACCTGATGAACTTGTCAAAGACAGCCGTGCAGTCCCGGGGCTCCTGCAGCAGCACCTCGCTCTGGTTGCTCAGCAGCTCCCGGAAAAGCTCACTGTGTAGCTCCAGCAGCAAGCGGTGGGTGTGGAAGGCTCGGACCTCGTCGGTGCCCACAGCCTGGACTCGCAGGACGACATCGCTGGCATTGCCCTGCCGCAGCAGGTCCTGCAGTCGCTGGAGCAGCATCTGGGAGTGGTTGATGGAGGTGCCTGCTGCCTCCCCACCCACGTCGGCTCTCTGAGCTGCAGCAGGAGGGGACATAAAACAGCCTGAGAAGGCACCCGGCCTGGGGCCTCCAACTAAGGCCGCAAAGGGATCAACCGGTGACACAGGTGCCAGCCTAGGGAGGGGGCTGTGTGCACACACCAAGTGCGTGAGTGTCCAAGAGTTCGTCCTGGTTGGGCATGGTGGCCCCATGCAGACTCGGGAGGGAGTCCTTAGAAGCAAGGTGGCCTCTGGTCGGGAAGAAGTCACGGAACAGCTGTTGTGTCCATGATACTAGACCTCCAGGGGAGGGTGAAGAAAACTCTGGGTCCCCACCTCTCTCACCTCCTCAAAAACTTGTCAGAAGTGGCACACTCTTGTGTAGTGAGCACTTGTCATGCAGCTTCTGGGTGGCAGTGAATGAGCCAAACCCAGTTCTCACACTCAGGGAAGCTCAAAGGATCAGACTAGATGTGTAACAAGTATTCAAATGAAAGGGTCAGATACAGAAGGATTGTCCCAAGTTCAAGGTCAGCCTGGGCTACACAGAAAGGATCAGATCAAGTGCCACTGTTTAACAAGACTCAGTATAAAAGTGGGGGACACCAGATGGCTCAGCCAGTCAAGGTACCTGCTGACAACATGAATTTGGTACTAGGGACACACATGGTGTACGGAGAGAACTGATTCCTGAAAGCTGTCTGCCTGTGTGCAGTGGCACATGAGCACACACACCCCACCACCACACACACAAGGTAAAATAAATAAAGTGTGATTAAAGAGGGGAGGGTTCCTAGAGAGAACATCTAAGCTTGAGGACCTGAATTCTATCCCCAGAAGCCAGGTATACTAGCTAGGTGTGGTGGCACAAGCTTGTAATCCCAACACTGTGGAGGCGGAGACAGGTGGACCCCTGAGGCCCTCTGCTCAGCCAGCTCACCCTAATCAGTGAGCTCCAGGTCAGTCAGGGGCCCATCTCAAAATACAAGGGAGATGGACAGAGGGTACCCGAGGAACCGTACCTTGACCTTAGGCTTCCACATGCACACACACACACACACACACACACACACACACACACACACACTCTAAAGCAAATAAATTTAAAAAATAAATAAATGCACAAGTGAGCGCTCTGAAGCCAGCCCGGGAGAGCGTGCACAGAGACAAAGGGGGAAGCCACGAAAGACCCTTGGTGGGAATGGGCTTGTGGGGCTGGGGTCAGGGACAGGGCTGGGGAGACCAAAGTGAGATCAAAGCTGAGACAGCAGGCATGGGTTTTCTCTCCTCCCTCCCTCCCTCCCTCTCTCCCTCCCTCCCTCTTTCCCTTCCTTCTTTCCTTCCCCACTCCCCTCTCTCCCTCCCTCCCTCTCCCTTCCTTCCTTCCCCACCCTTCTCTTTTCTTTTTAGTTTTTTAAGATAGGGTCTCTTGGGGGAGGGGGAGGGGGCAAGAGGGGGAGAACAGGGGAATCTGTGGCCATTATGTTGAACTGAATGGTGTTGTAAAATAAATTAAAATAAATAAATAAATAAAATAAACAAAACAAAACAAAACAAACAAACAAACAAACAAAAAAGATAGGGTCTCTTGTAGCTCAGGCTAGCCCTGAATTCATTACTAGCTGGGGTTTGCCTTGAACTCTTGATCCTCCCCCTACCCATGTGCTGGGATTACAGGGACACACCACCACACCCAACTGGGAAGTACAGCCCCAGCTCTGTTCTACTGGGTTCCGGGTCTGTGAGACAGATAAGGGGCCTAAGGAAGTATGGTGGACCAACCAGTGAAGGAACAGGACTGTCTGGGTAACTGAGTGTTGAAGCTGGTGTCCCCCTTCCAGGGAGGCCCGTCTCTTGGGTTCTCAGGGAGGCCATGGGGTCAGATGGGGACACAAACTGAGTTATAGAAAAGATAGCCCCCAGCCAGAGTGTGTAGGGAGCCTTGCAAAGTGAGAAAAGGGGGTGTCTAACAGTTAGAACTGCAGAAGGGCACCGGCAGACTGCTCCAGTGCGTGTGGACACACACACACACACACACACACACACACACACACACACACACACACGGTGGACATGCGGCTTATGTGTGGATTGTTGAAAGGAAGGCTCACAAGAGTGAGCATCTGTGTGTGGGAGAGGGAGACCCGAGAAGAAAGGGAGCAGCTGCTGGTGAATCTCCCAGCCCTGCCTCCCCAGCTGTCACTCTGAAGGACCTGAATGCTGATGACATCCCTGTGCGGCCTCTGCCTGGACCCAGCTGCCTGAGATAACAATAGTGGCCTTTTTGTCATTAAGACCCCTGCCTGCTGCCCAGCCCCTCTTCCCCTGGAGGCAGTCTGTCCCTTCTCCCTTCTGAGGACCTGTCGGGTCTCTCAGTGTTCTCCGTGGCTGGCTGGACCACGCCACCTCCTGGCTGCCCTATGTAGCTCCTAGTAGAAGTTCTTGTCCCCACCCCTTACCTTTTCCCTTACCAGACACCTAACCCCGCCTCGGCCTACTCACCTGCACGCGTGACCAGTCCTACCAGGGCCAGCGTAGCCCAGAAGCTGCCCCAGGACCCAGGCTTGCGGTGGCCTTTCCTAAGCATCTTTGTGCTCTGCCCCCAAGTCCACTGCAGGGACAGTCAAGTCCAGGGCACTCCGATCCCATCGCTCCTCCTTATATAGGACCCAGCAAGGGGACAGCACCCCTTTCCTGCCCTGCCTCCCTCCCCCTACCAGTCTCTGCCATGGATTGGTGGAAGCTGGCCCCTGCTGTTGCCTAGGCAACTACTTAAGCCAGAGTGTGGCAGCCCCAGGGGCTATTGTGCAGGCCTGGGCCCCCAAGGGGAAGAGATCCGGACACCCTCCTCCCCCACCTCTCTGGACAACCCAGCAAGGCTAGCTGTTCCTCTCTGGGGAAGTTTTAAGCTCTCTGAAGGGCAAGCAAAGGGCTTCAGGACCCCTGGCAGCCACCAGCCCCCAGGCCCAGCCTCCATCCTGGCACAGAGCATACTTGGCAGTGTCCTGGTGAGCAGGCTGCAAAGGGAGAGACTGCAAGAGGCAAGGAGGAGCTGGCTCGGGTTCTACCCCTCCCCCACTCTCATTTTGGGGTGGGCCGGTTCTCCAGAGGAGAGGATAAGGACCTTGAGTAGGGGTATGGGGTAATGGAGATTGTTCTCATGCTGTTTGTTGAAGAGAGTGCCTGTCACGCTCTGGAGAAGGTGATGAGCCTTTTGGAAATCAGCACAGGGACTGACCATCTCCTACCAGGGACACTGTGGCCCTTGCTCTAGGGACACAGCCTGTTTCCCTACCCAGGCGGCCCAAGTTCAGTTCACCCCATGCATGGCCCCATGTCTCAAGAATTCCCCTCCCTAGAAGGCGTCTTCAGCAAACCTGGCACGGTAGTCCATGTATAGGGAAACTGAGGCAGGGAGCTAGATTTCGGTCTCAGTTAGACAGTACAAAGAAATGTTCTGAGAACAAAAGTAATGGAGGTGGAGGGGCGGATCTAGAGTCCTGTGTTTGTGTGTGCATGTCTGTGTGTGTGGTGTGTGTGTGTGTGTGTGTGTGTGTGTGTGTGTGTGTGCAAGTGTGTGATGTGTGTGCACATGCATGTGTGTTTTCATGTCTGTGGTGTGTGTGTGTGCGCGTGTCTGTGTGGGTGGTGTGTGTGTGTGTGCAAAAGTGTGTGGTGTGTGTGCACATGCATGTGTGTTTTCATGTCTGTGTGGGTGGTGTGTGTGTGTACAAGTGTGTGATGTGTGTGCACATGCATGTGTGTTGTCATGTCTGTGGTGTGTGCGTGTGTGCGCTGTTGAGACCTCACCTTTGCATAAAATCAACAGGATTTGCCCCAGTTCCTTGTGAGAGACACTCCCTTGAAGTTGACACATACAAGTCAGTGGATCCCGGGAAATCTGAGATCCTGCTCTGGGGATGTGTCAGAACTTCTTGTCCTTGCTCTCTGGATCCCTGGGACCAGCTTCTGCACTGAGTTCTGTCCCTTTCTGGTACAGAGAGAGCCGACAGCTTCACCTCCTCCTGCAGCCACAGAGAAAGCAAGAACTGGGTCTGGCACCAACCTTGTCCGGGTTGGCAAAATCAGAGCTGCCCGGCTTAGCAGAACCGCCTCCCAGCTCTCTCACGCCTGGTCTCCCGTGTCCAGATGGACCATCCATCTCCCGCTGGCTGCCTGCCTACCCCTTCCTGTAGACTGTACCATACCTAGCTCCACTGAAGCTTCAGACACACTGAAGCTGCCTGAGCCTGTGTGCAGCAGGGAAGTCCAGCTTTGGAGGCAGCCAAGCTTCCATGTACAATGCCCATCAACAAGAGAGACTGTTATTCAGTGGTAATGCTTCTCACCCCCTTCCACGGGGATCCTCAGTCCCTCCTCCTCACCAGTGCCTCCTCCTCAGTCCTTCCTCCTCAGTCCCTCCTCCTCAGTCCCTCCTTCTCACCAGTCCCTCCTCCTCCTCAGTCCCTCCTTCTCACCAGTCCCTCCTCCTCAGTCCCTCCTCACCAGTCCCTCCTTCTCACCAGTCCCTCCTCCTCAGTCCCTCCTCACCAGTCCCTCCTCCTCAGTTGC